ATCAAGCCAAAGAGCCGGGGTGTCCAGCACATCTTCTCTGAGTGTTTGGATGGATTTTATGTGGTCGGATACATCTCCATCGCCTCTGTTCCGCTCTTTGAAGTGTCTATTGTAGAAGTTGTGTTTTAGTTGAAGTTCAGCGGTGAGTTCTTGGCGAACCGAAAGCCAATCGTCCTCAGATCGCCCCAAACTGTTGGCAATCGCTCGATATCCACAATGCCCATCGGGTATTGGGTCATGAACAGAATGGACATACTGGCGTAGCCAGGTTGGAAGACATGAGTCCTGAATGAAAAGAAGCGGGAATTAGATGTGTAAGCAACTGTACAAATGGGACAAATTGGGACGTACACACTTTTAGCTTGGAGGAACGTGTAGAGCGACGAGGAGCAATGACTTAGTCCGTCTCGGTCTTATTATGCCTGGTTGATCTCCGAACAGGGTTGAATTCAGTGTGTTTCTCTGGATTGGGTTCAATCATACGCCTTGCTCTCTTTTTATTGCCCTACAAAGACAACCTCAGTCATAACGCCTTTCAAGACACTGTCTTTACCCAGTTCATCAAAGACAGACTTACACAAGGCAGCGAAGGAAGTGATGATGATGTTACACTGAGGTTTGCACTTGGTTCTTCCAGAGCGGTGGTGTCGGCAACAATAGTTGTCGTCCCTTCGTTTTCCTTTGTGGGGCTGGTAAGGGGTGGAAGTAAGGCTTTGAAATCGAAGCTTTGTTCGTCATCTTGCTCAACAAAAGGTTTTGAGAGCGAGGGGAGGGCGGACTAGATCACAAACACAAAAGGGCGAATGTCCAAAACTTATCTCTATTGAAGAAAGACATAAGGCGAAAAGTGCGTACCAAAGGAGGTCCAACCGGGGGTGTGAGTATTGAGGTAGGTGACGGCTATGATACGGATATTACACATTATTCAGCAACCCAATTAGGGTACACAAGGCTGAAGACGATGTGTCTGCAAGAGCAGAGCACCCACCAGAGGTTCCGAAAACGCTGGACTGCCTGAAGTTTCGGGTTTGATAGTAGGACTACGTGAGGGCTATATGATATACGAGTAAAGTATATTTGGTTAGTTTCAATGAACAAAATTGTTGGTAGGGAGATTCGTACCATATCGGAATCATAATCAACAAGCCCCTTGAGATTGAGAATCAGGCTAGGGCGAGTTTGACCTTCTATGCTTGAGTGGTTGATGGGATATGAAGGTGGGATAAAGGTTTGTCCTGAGGTGTGATCAAGAATCGGGGAAACACTGGAGGGTGAATCAGCCAAAGGTTTGGTGATGTTACTGGAGGTGCCTGTGATCCGGAGAGCGGCTGGTAAAGCTGGAGGAGGAGGTAGACATGAATCATGTGTTGGAGAGGGCTGTTGTGGAGGGTTGTTGGGAGCCGGAGGTGGGAGGTTGTCTGACAGTTTCTTCACTTTTTTGCGCTTTTTCTTTTTGACGAGATATGTGCCAGTGTCTTCTGGTACAGGAGTCTGCATTGATTAACAAAAAGTTAGAACTGAACGACTTAAAGGTAACGGTGAGGGAGAAACTCACCACTGATAACGTCTCCAGAGGGGGGGGACTAAGGACCTTTATTGGGGATTAAGAATGACTTGTGGTTCGGATTGGTTGAGTTTTTTCGACTTTGATAGGTTGCGAGTGTGATGTTTGAGGAGCAAAGTTACTTGATTGGTATTTCTCAAGAACTTGCTGGATTTCTGCAAGGGCTTTGGTTCGATCAGCACGCGAAAGCTGAGATAGTTTGTTTGAAATCTAAAGGTGGAATGCATTGGTGAAGTTCAGCATTGCAAATGCCCGATTGGAGGTGACATGTACTGACCGAACTGGATCGTTGATTGATGACAGCTAAACTCTCGCCCTGATGTTTTGCGTCACGAGTCTGGATACATTAAACACTTGCTTAGATGTCTTCCAGTGACATGTGATGAATACATTAAAAACAAGCTTACTTCGGAACCGATTGGCCCATGGTTGTCACCTCCATTATTGATTTGGATTTTCCACGTACCGACTGGAGGGAGGACTTGTGTGATATTGTTCTTGATAAGGTCCTGTAGATGATTGGGAATATTGGGGGCAATGACCTCATAGGCTTTGAGTGAGAAGGGGCAGTTGGTCTTTTGAGAACACGAGTCGTCGGAAGGCTTTGGGCCAAAACGATGACATCGAAAACAAAGGCTGTTATTCTCAGAGGATCGGATGGTTAGCTTATATCCATTGGCTTCTGCGTGCTGGCGAAGTTTGGTCTTGATACCAGCTTCTGTGGTTGCTTCGAGGTTGTGTGGTGGTGGTTGGAACAGCTTGAGCGTGGAAGAGGAAGTGGAGGGATCCATGAGGTGGCGGTATGCAGACGAGGGATGTGAAGAGGAGGTTTTAAAACACAAGGGTGGGGTTTTGTAGAGGTGGTGCGGTGAAATAGGTAGTGTTGTACTGGGTGGTAACTTTAAGTGGGTGCGAGGGTAGTAGAAGGTAGTTATG